TTTGCCCGTTTTCGCAATTAAACTAAACGTGAGAAGAAAGCAAACATCTCATTCGCAAAGACGACCTATTTATTGCTCGAGAAATTGTAAACGTCTTAGAAACAATTACATTTACTTATTATTAAGCATTGTTGTTGCTTATTATGCTAAATGACATAAAAACGATCTTGAAGACTCAACATTGGTGTAAATGTAGTAATTGCATTCTGGTTTCCAGTCTTGGGTTAATTCCAATAACTACGAAATTGTACGAAACCACACCGGTAAGGCGAAACGTTCACCGAATTTACACAATTGTCCGCATTTTTCTGTTTAGAGGGTGTTAAATAGATGCAATGAGCAGTATGGTTAAATGACAAAAAAATTTGTAAGAAAACCACACGAACTTGTAATCCAAAGCCGATCCTTTATTAGTCATTCCACAACCGTCACTGTTTACATTTTTCATTTACCTACATATGTAACAGATGAAAAATGTAAACAGTGACGGTTGTGGAATGACTAATAAAGGAGCTTACTACTATGGTAAAACCGTCCGACATTTGACATACTTCATTTTACAACCCCATACAAGAAAGTTAAATGGATTTCCAGAAACACCCTGTATTTTTTCAATCATGTCTATCTAAAAATATCTCCTGTTTCTATGAAAGCTGTCCTAAACTATAACCGCACAAAATCTTTTTTTTTTATTAAACTTATATTATATTACTTTATATTTATATGAAAAGGTGGTGGATGATATTCTTCCTCAACCCTTTGAAATGACACGTAGACACGTTTTGCGTGCACGGCGCATCCACCATTTTTGTTATTGTCCATTTATACAATATTAACTGAAACTCGTCCACCTTTAAAGGTATATTTATCGGTAGGTAGTGCATTACGCTTGAAACTATTCCCATCACAACTTTACGTAAGTCCTTAGGGGTTGAATTTTAAAAAACCCTTTCTTAATGGTCGCATACCTTGTATAAAGAAGGCAAAGTTTCAGTTCTTTAGGCCAGGGTTGGCCAATCCAAACGATCTTGCTGACCACTTTGAAAATATCTAAGTATATTACATTTACATACACTATAGACATTTTTTGGAAATATACATAACTGTAAACTCATTGATAAAGTTGATTTTCTCTCATAGTTGCAACAGTTAATTTTTGAATCTATAATTACACAAAAAATGTATTTTTTTAATATATTGGTTTTCACTACTTTGGTTATTAAAATCCTCCATGCCTACACCCTTTCCTATCCTGATTTAATATTCCCACTTCCCTAAAACTACAACATCCTACACCTTTTATTTGTGGCTAGTAGTCTACTCTAAGTCTACCTCTACTCCTCTTAACTCCTATCATGAAATTTTGTATATACATTTTATCAAAAAAAAAAAACTGTTTCCGAGGGATCGAAAAATTAGTTTTATGTGGTCGTCGATGATCTTTTACACGCATTTAGGATATCAACGCGAGTTAAAACCCATTAAACCATGAAGCATAAAACGGCTTTTCAATGTTGAAAAGTGAAGGTTTATCGTTTTCAGTTGCGCTAAATCATTTCAGCATCTATGAAACCGTTTTCGTTGCGAAGACCAACGCCTACTGAATGAAGCAAAATTTGAATAAATAATAGACCAGTACCGAAGTTGTAAATTACAAAGATAGACCGTGCAAAAACGCAATCCGCAGCTTTGAATATTATCTTTCATTTTAACCATTGCATAGATTTCATAAATATTCAATCTAAAGCGCACATCATTTTGCATTCACAAGTGGGTGGTTATACAATAGGTTCCAGTGGCAATATCAAACAATAAAATCACTTCTCTAGTGAATCATCTGCGGTTTAATTTAAAATGCATCTCTCACACGTCGAATGCATGAGAGCTACGCTCAACTTTTGTTCTGTTGTTTGCTCCTGTTCCAATCACGATACATCGAAGAATGGCAAATTCCTTAGTTGAAATGCTATTAAAATTTACATATTTCCATCTCAAAATTAAAGGTAGGGATTATAAAGTACAGCATCTACTAATCGAATTTCCGTTTTATAATTTCAATTTTATCCTTTCGTTGCACCCGAACCTGCCTTCAGTTTAGCTGTTCTTCTTAAACAGGAAATTGAGAGTGTAAGTCACTGAAATTGGAAAACTAGATGTAGTTGTGAAAACACATCCAACAATAATTTAAGTAAAGTTAAATATTTACAGAGGATTTAATTGTATTCTTTTGCACCCAACTTCACATTTAAGCCGTATAATTTTTATATGCTTTGAGAGCTCATATAGCAAGGCTTGTGTGTGAAAANACGCGGAGGCCGATTGTGCCTCTTTGTCGCTCGTTCCGCGCTCTCGCTTGCACTTCAAGCCTTAAATGGAACGCCTCAGAGCGAGGTAACGCCGCATGAGTCATGTTTTTTCGTGAGTGCATCGAATTATAAGACGTTGTCACGTCAAAAAACAAAACATACAACTAAAAAAAAATATTTATTAATCCTTGTAGAAAACGTGACATAGTGTAGGCTGGAATTGATTCAAGTACTTTAAATAATATTTTCCTGCATTTGAAACTACAAAATACTCAAAATCAATTCCAAACATCCATTCTAATTTAGTAGGTTGTATGGCAATAAAAAGAAAATCCGAATAACGTCACGACTACATTTGGGTAATATCTGTAGCTCTCATTTCGAAAGTGCGCCCGTCATTAATAATCGTCAGGCTTCATATGAATCCCAAAATAACTGAACACAACCCCAACCGTTCCAGTTTTATACATAAATGAATATTGCACCATCTAATTTTCGTATTGATTTCCTGCTACAGATCAAAATGAAAATGTATGTCGCAATGCATTGTAATTTTTCTGTAAGTACTCAAATAATTAGCATACAAATCTTTGCAAACTAGTCCAACGTCCATGAAAGTAATGTTATAAACGAATGCCACAGGCGACGATCGATCCCAGAGGCACCTTTGATAAAAACGAGAGAGCACTGTCTCAGGTACAGCGAACGAAATCTGTAGCTCAAATGGAACTTACGGGAAGTTTCCGGAGATATTCAAGAAAATTTCATGACAGTATAAGCAGAAATCGAGTCGATATAAAGCAGCTACCTGTTTCATGTCTAAGAACTGTTGGTGTCCCTAGGGAACCCGAACCTAAACAATCACCCAACTCCTCCTGTCACTGTGACGTTCTTTTTCCCCATTAAATTTTATTTTTACTTACATTCAGCGCATACATGCTCACGTACATCTCACCCTAAAAGCATCCCGTCTATTTCTTAAAAAGTATTGTAGTTGAGCCCACTTGATGAATAGTGTACTATTATCTGCCTTTATAACCGACACTCTGTTGTAAGATAAGACAATATCAAGGAGGGTAAGTGATAGATGGACTCTTTATGTAAGAAACTTTCCATCGTTGTTTAAAGTTCTCTCTGTTTTACAGATATAAGAGAACTATGTTCGAACGTAAAGTGACATTTAAAGTCGTTGGGATTTTCTTTCTAGGGCAACGAAGAAAACGAGTAAGCCGTTACTTCAGGCAGGCACAGACACATATTGTGAATGCTTTGAAGAAATTCTTTTTACTTGATAGAGGTTAATATCTAATAATTTAACTAAACATTAATGTGAAGTAATATTCAGCACTCTACAGTCAGATTATCTCAAATTAATGAGAAACAATTGCTGCTGCGCTGTCATCCCTCGCCGTGAATCGAACTCGGAACCTTTGGCTTCATGCGTTAAAGCTCTGACCACAGAGCTACGAAAGGTGGCATCAGCAAGAACAACGAAACGCGCCTACTAGATTAGTGAATCGTCCAAATTAATGCATATGTATCTCTTAATATATATTAAATGAAATTCTTTTTTCCTTTCGTTAATTTGAGATAATCTTTAGAGGGTTGAATATTGATTCACATTAATGATTAATTAAATTATTACATATAGTGCAATTACGTATTGCAAAGGATCCGTCATACGTTTTCAAAACCTGTTAAGTGCTTCCATAAAGTTTATGCAGTTTACACAAACATCGAATCCAATTAGCAGCTGCTAATTTCCGCTTTACTTCTAACGCTTATTGTATTGGAATAATTTGCGTTTCTGATGCTATTTTGTTAGTCTGCGATAATTAACACACTTTACAAACAAAACGTTTCCGATTGCAATTGCGAAGGCCGCCCTTTCCGAAAAGCTTTCCAATGTTTATTCTAAGCTACATACAAAAAAAAATATTATTATTAAAAAGAAATGCATCAGTATAAATTTATTTTAAGATTAAGTCTGTTGTAGGAACTCTACAATAGATACTTTGAAATATATTTAAAAAGCTTTGATTTCGCTAAGGTAGTGTGATAGATACAGTCTCGTTGGCAAGATAGAAAGTCAAACTCTGGATTGATAACTGCCAATAAAAGAATTCTGCACTAAGTACCTAATAAAGTGTTAAACTTCGCGGTAAGTATAGATGAAGAACCCTCTTCAAATGACAATTATATAACCCCTGGGACATACGACCTATGTAGGTTTAATCACTAAAAGTGACCAAAATAGTTTCATATGCTGGAAAATATGAGAAATGGTGGTAAAAATTTAATACGGCTATAGACTTGAACGCTTTAGATTTCAATTTATTGTTAACAGCTTAACAACGATAGGATTACTGTGAACTCTGCATAGGTTTTTAGCTCCAACAAAAAAGATGCACCTGCAAAAGTTAGTTTTGTTCTTCTTTTTCTTCTGCTTTTCTATGTTTTTCGTTTGCCGTTTGTGCTGCCTCCTCGTCCTGATCTTGACCTTCCCAAAACAAACGGGGACCTCGGCACTTAACTCAGAAGATGAAAAAGTCAACAGTGAACTCATTAACGACGGCATGTCGGTCGCGTGTGCGAAAGGCACGAGTGGCGCACGCGCATCAAACTTGTCTGATAAAAAACGACGCTACCGGCGCGTCGCCACCAAAGTTGTTGGTAGTTTGCTCGCGACGCGCGTGTGGACTATATCTCCAAGCTACGTAATCGCTTGTTCCATGGGACGCAAATGTCCCATTCGGACTGCGACGTCCTCATGGTACGTCACCCTTACCGTCGTTATAATCACCTGCTGCTGTTTCTGTTGGGCTAGTGTTTCAAACGGCGAACCAAACTCAGGTAAGAAAAGCCCGAAACTCCTGCAAATGTCTCCGACTAAACCTTTAAACTTTTAAAACTTTTGCCTAGCAAAAACTTGTAGCGAGCGCCCCATTTAACAAGAACGAATGCATACGTCTGCAAATGCAATTTGTCAACGTTTCCAACAGAATTCGTATTAATTTAACATTGCTGTCACCAAAGTTCGAATCTTTAGCAGCTAGGAGAATTTTCTTTTATGTATGAATAGAAACATTCATGAGACTGGAGATTATTTGGTTCAGAGTATAGTGGAACTTGGTTATAACAACATCGGTTCTAAAGACAACTCCGATATAACGTCAGTTTTTATTTTTTTAAGTCCCACAAATCCTTGAAACGGTCGTAGTATTTTCGTCCATCGAAGCCTCCGCCTACAATTGGCATTACCGTATGGACTGCATACTCGGTTATTACCTCAGAATATCTTCTACCGCAAGGGTGACGCTATAGTGAAGTTCTACTATATTAGTATGGAAGATCCATTAAACTTAAGTACGAGATATATTGGATTCATCATCATCATCATAAGGTTGTCAGTCCTATGAATGGAGAACTAAGAACTAATTTTCGCATTTCCTTAAAAGTGGAACATCCCACATCCTTAACTATTTGTGAACAGTAATCTAATATAGGTCTACTTCAACCCGTCCTAAATTCCATTTCTGCCTCTACTATGTCTCTGACTAGAGCTTCATGTCTGAGAAGGTGTCCTACTAA